CTCTGTAGACCAGGCTAGCTTCTAACTCACAGAGATTCGCCTGCCCCTGCCTCCCAAGTGCTGGGATAAATGGTTTATGCCACCAGTGTCCAGATCTTCATTTCTTTTGAAAGAACTATTTCTTTTTCTTTTTGGGATTATACTATAACGAAATCATCTTGCTGCAAACCTTCTTGCTATACCCTATACCTCTTCTTACTTCCTTTGAAATCCATGGCCTCTCTTTTCATTAAACATTGTTACACACGTATATGCATATGGATGTAGAATGCATTAGTGATTAAGTCCCAGTCACCAATAATGCATCAGCGTGAAGGAAAGAAATAAAAGCAGTTCCCACTGGAGTCATTTAACCCAGACTGACTGTAGATTTCGCTCTCTGCTTCATGCCTGCTGTGTTTTCTGTCCTGTCTGTTGCGTGAGTCTCAATCTGTTCCTACCTGAAGGTTGTCTTATGAATCTGGCCCTGTGTGTGTGGCTGTCTGTGTTCTCTGTGTCTGTCTGCCCCTAACAGGACACTAGAAGCATGAAATAGAGACTTGTTCTTTTTTTTTTTTTTTTTTTGGTTTTTCGAGACAGGGTTTCTCTGTGGCTTTGGAGGCTGTACTGGAACTAGCTCTTGTAGACCAGGCTGGCCTCGAACTCACAGAGATCCACCTGCCTCTGCCTCCCAAGTGCTGGGATTAAAGGCGTGCACCACCAACGCCCGGCCTAGAGACTTGTTCTTAAGAGCTCCGGACTCTCTCTCAGTTAAATGACTCCAAAGGGAAATGCTTTCGCTTTTTCCCATGACTCAACACATATGCAGAATCTGTTAGCTGGTGCTATCATTACTTTTGTTTGTATTTGCATGTTCTGGAAAACAATAAACTTACGGCAATGCGAAACACATAGCCCTATCATCCGACAGGTGCCCATGGGCTCGGAGCCCTGCACTTTAGGGAGGACCGCTAAGTTCTAGGTTTGTATTTCTGTGCTCTCATGTCCCTGCAGAGCTGGGATGCCATTTTACCTGTCATGATCACACCAGCTTCAGCTTGGACCTCAGAACATGCCAGATAGACCTGGTCCTCATTATAGCCATGACAAATCTATTTCTCAGGTAGAATCTCTAAAGAACCTTGTGTGAGTCCTTCCTCAGCTCCGAGAGATGGACATGGGTGGACACTGAGACCTGGAGGCAACAATCAGGAGACACTCTATGAAGAAATGACCAAACAGTGTAGTGTACATGGTAATTTCATTTCTAGTTTTTTGAGAAAATGTAGACTGTTTTCCAAAGTGGCTCCTCTAGTTTTCGCTCCCACAGAGTCCCTTTCCTAACATTCATGTCAGAATTTGTCATTTATCCCAGTGATGGCCATTCTGACTGGGGCAAGATGGATTTTTTTTTGTTTGTTTGTTTTTTTGAGACAGGGTTTCTCTGTGGCTTTGGAGGCTGTCCTGGAACTAGCTCTTGTAGACCAGGCTGGTCTCGAACTCACAGAGATCCGCCTGCCTCTGCCTCCTGAGTGTTGGGATTAAAGGCGTGCCCCACCAACGCCCGGCAAGATGGATTCTTAAAAGAGATTTAGTCCACATCTCAGCATCTCCCTGACAGCTGTGTATACAGGACTTTTTGTCAACGCGACTTGAGAAGTCCCCAAGCTGACTGCATAGCCTAATCAGTAGACACGAGTGGACGAGCATGTGTGATGCCTACTGACTTTGAAGACCTCTAGGCAACTATATTGAGAACTCCGAAAGAAATGGGAAAATATCCTGAATCATATTGCACGCCAAAATTACAGCAACGTGAACTAAATAACTGGATAGGCAGCAGCGACGGTGAAGCAGTGCAAAATGCACCGCCCCCCACTCAAAAGAAATGCAGCAGGTGGATTCACCTCCAAATCCTGTGAAAACTTCAGAGAATAACTGACACTGGAGCGAGTAAAGTGATCCTTATGTAAAAGGAAGCAAGGTTTCCCAGACTCTTAATGAAGCCAGTATTGTCTAATCCCAATCCAGATAAAGACACAAAAGTGAAATTACAACTGATGCCATTCTTCTTCTTCTTCTTCTTCTTCTTCTTCTTCTTCTTCTTCTTCTTCTTCTTCTTCTTCTTCTTCTTCTTCTTCTTCTTCTTTTTTTTGAGACAGGGTTTCTCTGTGGCTTTGGAGGCTGTCCTGGAACTCACTTTGTAGACCAGGCTGGCCTCGAACTCACAGAGATCTGCCTGCCTCTGCCTCCCGAGTGCTGGGATTAAAGGCGTGCACCACCAAGGCCCGGCGATGCCATTCTTCTTATTTTTTTTCTCTTTCACATGATATACCTTGCTTCCCAGGCTTCCTACAAATCCTGGACCATTCTTGTAATAATGTCTGTCTGTCTGTCTGTCTGTCTCTCTGTGCTTCCCTAACTCTCACTGTAGTTTATTTCTGTTCATTTTGTGTTTGACCCACCAGGGCCATCTGTGAGACTGTGGGTTTGGAGTCATGTGTTGGAGCCTGGTAGGCTCAGCAGAGGAGACACCACTAGAGACAGGGATTCCCCTTCACCTAAACTCTATCAGCGATCACAGCTGAGAGGCAGAGGGTGGGGCCCGGTGAGCTTCTCCCCTCCCTAGACTGATTTTGTCCAGGGCTGGTCTTGACAGAGCCCAGTGCAGGTGACTACAGTTGCTCTGTTACTGATTACAACAGCTCTGTGGAATCAGGAGAGTGACATGGCATGGCTTTCCATCCCTCACCGGTCTTGTTTCCTTCCCACCCCTCTTCCTCAATAATACCAGAGCCACAGAGACGGGATGGGCTATTTAAGGCTGTGCTACACACCGATTATTTTTTGAATCCGGGACAGGCATGAGTCTCCGCATTCACCACTGTGTTCTTTTTGAAAAGAAGTTTTATGTTTTATCAAAAAGCACCTTTAAAATGATTTCTGGACGACAAAGTCCCTTGAGAGAAACATAGCAATGCCACTACATAGCGATGTCAAGAGTAAGCAGGATTAATGCTGGGCTGGGCTGTCAATGGGCTGACTGAATGAAGACAGGAAATGGAAAGGAAAGGAAAAGAAAAGGCTGCTCCTAGGTATGGAGGAGGAGAAGGTTTACCACAGACAAAAAACCAAAAAAAAAAAAAAAAAGAACTAAAGTCATGAGGATGTGTGATGCTCTCATAGTAAGACATGACTTAGAATAGGGACCCTGGTATGAGGAAATACTTTCTGTAACAATCACCAAACCTCCTTTGCATGGCTGTTCCTGGTTCAGTCTACCAGAGAGGCTGGACCTTCCTGCTGCCACACAGTTCGTCTTTGAGGGCCTTCTTTCTTCAACCAACCTGCACCACCCCATGCACCGGTGGCAGTATTCTGTGGGTGGAACCTGGCGGCTGGAGGTCCTGGGGGAGGGGCCTGGCCACTCTCCTGACTCGAGGGGCTTATGGTACCCTACATTGTCCTCATTTCCTTCTGTCATTGCCTTGTGTTTCTCATCTATCAGTCATTTGCTCCTACTCCCTTTGAGTTCGTTCACGTGTTTCACATGCTTTGGCCTCCTTTTTTCTTTTTTGGTTTTATGAGACAGGGTTTCTCTGTTTTGGAGACTGTCGGTCCAGCCTGGCCTCGAACTCACAGAGATCCGCCTGCCTCTGCCTCCCAAGTGCTGGGATTAAAGGCGTGTGCCACCACAGCCCGGCGCTTTGGCCTCCTTAAAATGGTATTTTACATGCTTTGTCCTCCTTGGGCATGGCAGTTTTTGAGTTCTGTATATAGATATCATTTAACTTGCTCTCCTTAGGGGACACAGCTACAGCTTGTGATTGGAGTCAATGGAATTTTGTCTTAGTGTTTGAAGGGGCTCTAGCGAACCTCAGCATGGCAAACACAGTTCTGGCCGGCCTTGCCCTTCCCCATTAAATTTCAGTTTTAAAGCTAGCCACCATGGTCCACTCCTTTATTTGGCCATTTCCTCTTCCATAGGTTGACTACAAAGGTCTAGCTATTAAGTGGTTAAGTCCAGTAATCAAAAGACGCCTTTGCCTTTAATCCCAGCACTGGGAGGCAGAGGCAGGCAGATCTCTGTGAGTTTGAGGCCAGCCTGGTCTACAGAGCTAATTCCAGGACAGCCTCCAAAACAATACAGAGAAACCCTGTCTCGAAAAACAAAAAACAAACAAAACAAAACAAACAACAAAAAAAAGAGACGCCTTTGGCTAATCTACTTAATATATCCAATTAAACCATACCACTGCTTCCCAGTCCATTGTAACACAGACCTCCACCTTTTTCTTCTTAAAAAAAAAAAAAAACACACCTTCAAGGTCATTTACTGCTGCTTTTCTGCCTGAGTCATAAATCAGCCACCTTAGCCCCTCCATCCTCCCATTTAATAAAGATCTCTCTGTGAAGATAGGTGTTTGGGTGTTTGTGCCTAATCCGGGGTCAGGAAGGGAGCACCCTGCCGTGGGCGGGTCTCTTTAGTTTTAATATTGTGTTTTGGGAATGGAACACAAACAAATCAGATTTTAGGGTGTTTGTTGTCTTTCGCTGTGCGGTTTTTTTCTAGGCCAGAAGGCTATTCCAAGAAGAGCAGTTAGGATGACTTGTTATCTAAAGGGGTCAGAACTCAGTGTGGGGTCAGAACCCCGGGGTGCAGCGTCCTCCCGGATGCAGCTCTGGTCTAGGCTGCAGAAAGCGTGTGTGGAATCTGTGCAGAGCGGGTCCAGGGCAGCCTGACAGCAGCAGCCATGGGGAAGGCGGGGGAGACCGAGTGGGAGGGGCGGGTCCCCGATGGGGCGGGGACAATCGCCAGGGAGACGGTGATGAGGAAAAGGAAAGAGCTGAGCGGACTTGGAAAACTCAGGCAGGGAAAGCTCCTGGCGAGGGCGGGGTTAGGAGAGGCACGGTGAGCAGATCCGGGTTGCGGTGGGCGGGGCCGGGGAAATGAGCTCTAAGGAGCCAGTGCAGATTGGCAGGAAAATGCACCATTCACTGCGGGAGCTCGTGGAGCTCCGCAGTTCAGAATCCGGGGCGGAGGATGCTGGCTCCTGGAGGAGGAGGTGACAACTCCGGGTGGCTACAGGTTCCACGTCCGGTGTCCTGGGAAAGTCGGCAGCAGCAGCAGCAGCAGCAGCGCAGTGGCGGGAACCGCAGCCCGGCGGCCCTGGAACCTCCCAGGTCAGAGGAGCCGCGGGGCTGGGACCCGGGAAGGAGGGGACGGGGCTGTGCCCGCTGAGGATGCTCAGGAGGACAGGGCTTTCAAAATTCTGTCTGGGTATCGTTCCGTGGTCGGTAGGTTTGAGCTCCTATGAACTGGGGCTTATCGTGATTTAAAAAAAAAAATTATCCCGTGGTTGCCAGAATATTTTCTCGAAACAACCTGGTAGAGCGTTTGGAGTGGATGCTCTCTGCAAACACGGTTCTCTTTGCTGTTACTGTGCAGTCACAAAGCTCCTGGAATTTAAATTCATCCGTGCTTTCTTAACTTCCCCGGTCTACCACATTCCTGCTCAGGAAAGAGTGGCCTTTGCCCCTGGAGTGAGAGCTCAGTAGGTAGCAGTCACAGGATGAACCCGTGCGGATTTGATCGAAATCAGAAACTATACCTTGACAGGACAAGACAGGGTCCCTCCATCTTGTACTCTTGCCGAGGCCGTTTCCAGGGTGAACTAGAATCTGATTTCCTTGATGGAGGGTCCCCATGGAAAACTACCCAACTCAACTCCAGGAACCAGGGGTCGGGTTGTCCTAGCTAACCTGCCTTGCTCAGCCTCTGTTAAAACTGCGTGTTTACGGAGAACATCCTCCAGACTAACCTTCATCCTAGTTGCCTGTGTTTGCCGGAACCCCCTCAGGCAGGCTAACGTTCCATCTTGGTTTCTGTCAAAAAACTGCTTGCTTATGATGCAAAACTTCCCTGCAACTCCCAAGCTAGACTCCTGGGCCCAGGTCTCTGCCCTTAAAAACTCCATGTTCTGGATACTTGGAGTCTCCCTTAGGTCCCCAAACACTTGGATGTGGTCCCAGCATGTGTTCATATGCTAAGTTCTTAATGTGACCTCCTAGGTCCCGACAAGTGTAATGTAAGAGGATATCAGGCCACAAGGTTTCTCTGTATTGTTTTGGAGGCTGTCCTGGAACTCGTGCTGTAGACCAGGCTGGCCTTGAACTCACAGAGATCTGCCTGCCTCTGCCTCCCAGTGCTGGGACTAAAGGCGTGCGCCACAATATTTTTATAGTTAGAAAACTTTAAATAGATTAAAAGAAAATTAGAAAGCACTGTTTGAATAATTATGATCACTCACCCACATCACAAAACAAATGTCTGCTTGGCTCTAGAATAGTACTCTGCCCATGACATGTGGGCAAACTTGCTGTTTTTTTTTTTTTTTTTTTGGTCATCTCAGGGTTGGTTGATATTCAGTGTTTTTATGTGGGTTACTTTCTTGTAGCGGGAGTGGGAATGCCTAGACCCTGCTCACATGGCTCTTTATAGAGATCTCCTGTTTAAGAACTGCAGCAGTGTGGATTTCTGAGAGTGAGAATAGTTTTCTCGCTGTCTCCCTTGCTCCTCCTCAGGGTTCCTGGGACAACTCCTCTGCATGTGTGTGGCCTGTGTGTGGAGGAGTCCCACATCTCACAGAGTAAAGTGAAATCCTCAGAGACAGACAGACATTCATCCTGGTGTTTTCTCTCTCCTGCCTGTGTATCCTTTTGGTTTTGTGTGTTTTACTTTTGTTCCGTGAGAAGTTGCTGGTGTTTTACTACTAAGCATCTCTTTCTCCTATGCAGTCAGTCATGCTCACCTGTGATTCAGAGCAAAGAGCCCCGGATGGAGGAGAGAGAGGAGACAGCAACAAAGGATCCAGGTATGTTAGAGGGATTGAGGAAGGGGCAGGGAGGAAGGAGTAGGGAGGCGTCAGGTGTTTTGTGCTGTTCAGGTCAGTCGAAAACAAAGGTCACTTCAAGATGAATTTTAGGCCCCTATTGAATGTTACACACAAGGTGGTTTTTGGGCAAAACAAGTTTCTCATACCATAGCCTTGATCTAATCTATGTTTTCTGAAGGAAGATATCACACCCTCGTAGCATGAACAGTAAAAGACCCGGAGATAGATACTGGGGTTCAGACTTCAAGTTGAAGGTCAGAGAAGCAAACCGGCCAAGTTAGTAATCTTACCTCTACCAAGCTGAAATGACAGTCCTTACTCCAGGAATCCTCAGAGGCAAAACTCTCAGTGCCAGTGTCTTCCTGCCTTTTTTTCCTTTCTCCACCCAGCCATGTCACTCCTGTCTCCACCCCCCTCGTGCTGGGATTAAAGGCGCGTGATCCCAGGTGCTGAAATCACCTTTGTGTAAGATGTTTCTCTTAGGACTAGCTAGATCAGTTTTTGTAGTCAGTGTGGACTTGAACTAACAGAGCTCCATCTATCTCTTAATCCCGAGTCCTGGGATTAAAGGTGCATATCACTACTTCGTAACCTCTACGTCTTGTGGCTGGCTTTGCTTTCTGAATCCTCAGGCAAGCTTTAATAAACCATAAATAATACGTCACCACACACCCCTGCCACTTTAGTCTTTATCGTGTACTGTTTGTAGAACCCAATAATTCAAGATATCCAGGTGTGCCTTGGACTTGTGACCAAAGTCATGCAAAGGCTCCAAAGCTGCTTCAGAAAAACAACTCTATAAATCACAGAAAACAATCACTGTCTTTCACAGTGATTTCTTCAAGGTCTTAGTACATTTAGAAAACAACTATTCATTCTAATGTTTACCTTCAACACAGTGACTCTGTTAAGATTCCCACAATGGGGAGGGCCTCAAGTGACAGTTTACACAGGATATGAAATTGAGTTTGCCACCTTCTGTTTCATTAGAAATTATTCTAGAGAATTCCCCCTTGAGAATAAACTCAGGATTGTCCAGTTGTGGGCATTAGAAGACTCTCTATGTAAGAATTAATACTCTCAATAATTTTTTTTAATCTGTCTTTCCATGTGAGTGATATTGTCTCTCACATTGCTGGTTGTGTCTTCATGTGAAGATTAAATGGTTTTCATTATTTTAATTTTAATATAGTGTTTGTTTAGAACAATTCCTTCAGATTCTGTATCTTTTAAGGTTAATCTCTCAATTTCTAAAATAATGCCCCAGATTTTGGTAAGGTTTGGTTAATATCTCTCTTAATATCTAAATAGTCTTAAGCAATAAACACCATCTGTCCTCATTGTCTTTGCTTTGATGTCCTCTGTGTTCATGTCAACACTCAGTGGTTTGCATTGCTTCAATTTTAATATCTTTTGAAATCACCTCTGGGTTTGATCCTGTCTCATGATTTTTGAGTTCTTTTATGGTTTCTCAAAATTTTATAAGTTTTAGGGAGATTCTCTCTGTCTCTGTCTATGTCTCTCTCTCTCTCTCTCTCTCTCTCTCTCTCTCTCTCTCTATATATATATATATATATATATAGTGCCTGTACAATCTTGGTACAAATTACATAGAATCCTTACAGAAGACAAACACCCTCTTTTCTTCAGATGTTTGGATGAGAACATGTTATCAATGAATCGGTATTCACATGTGTTTATATATTTTTCTGTTTTCTGTCTACTGTTGCTGTCAGCATTCCAGGTTCTTGCAGAAGACACCCCATTTTTTTTCTTCTTTTTTTTGAGACAGAGTTTCTCTGTATTACTTTGGAGGCTGTCCTGGAACCAGCTCTTGTAGACGTAGCTGGCCTCGAACTCATAGAGATCCACCTGCCTCTGCCTCCCGAGTGCTGGGATTAAAGGCATACGGCACCATTGCCCAGCCTTCTTCATTTTTTGAGACAGGATTTCTCTTTGTAGTCCTGGCTGTCCTGGGACTCACTCTGTGGACCACGGTGGCCTTGAATCCATAATGATCTGTGTGCCTTTACCTCCCTAGTGCTGAGATTAAGAGTGTGCGCCACCACCACCCAGAGAAGACACTTTGCAAACCTTGATCTTTACTAGGTTTGAAGACTTGTTCTACTTCTAAGACACAGTATAGCATGCTGATTGCAGTTTGAGAAGTCCGGGCATCTTCTGCTCTTGTGTGGATGACTCCCTGGAGGCCTTGTAGGCATTATTGGTTTTCTGTGCCGTTCACGGTCTTTGTCACTAATGTTCTGCCAGGATTTCCAGCATCACTGAGTGTAGCATGTTGAAGCTTACCTGCATCACTGTCTTACTTGCTTCCTACAATTCTGTCATTGATTGCTTCATGTGTCTAGAAACTCTTTTGTGAAATGCATTCCTACTGATCACATAACTTTCCGACAGATGGACTATTCTTTCTTTTGTATGTTGATAGATTTGGCATTTTTTTCTTCCCTACCATAATTATGACCAACCCTCGTCACAGCGTATCTTAATAAAAAACTTTCTTCACTCTTAGCATTTTGTATCTGTATATTTGAAGTAAAAATATTTTTGTAGACTTTATATATGTACATATATGGATTTCTTTTTGAAGACGTATCCTATTTTCATGTTTGATTTGGAGAATAATATCTACTTAACATTTCAAGAAAGCACTGAAGGGAAATATAAACTCACACCATTTTGTTAACTCTTTTCTGTTTGTTATGTGTCTTTTCCTCTTTCTGAGTTCCTTTCTATTTTGTTGATATTTTGCAGTACACTTCAGTTCTTTATAAACTTGAGTAGTATCTTCTCTGAGTTCTCTCTTTGCTTGTTTGGCTGTCCAGGAAGCCGCACGCTGACTTGCCTGGTGGCCGCAGTGAGTTGGATTCCCACTGACACTGTGTCTCTGCTCTTCCTCCTGCGTTGTGTCTGTGTTTGTTATTGCTTAGGACCTGAGTGTAGACACTGAGTGGGCAGAGAGGAGGTCTCTGTGTAACATTAGATGAACATTTCCTCATGACTAAACATGCGGAGCATGCGCTGTTTATGTTTTGCTTGTTTCAACTCCTCTTGAGCATTTTTTTCCTTTTTCCTATTTCTTTTTCTTTTTTTTTTTGTGTTTTGCTTTGTGTGCTTTTCAAATTTATCCATTCTGTAGGCCGTTTCTTCATCCTTTCAGTAATTGCCATTTCCACCCATGTTTTTAATTGCACACAATTCTTTTTGCTGCTGCTTGTTCTTGTGTCCTGCCATTCAGAAACTGGGTCCCCGTGTCTCTCTATGGACTTATTGGCCGTGTGTTACTCTGCAGTCTTCACACTTCATTGAGTTGGACCGGTTTCATTCTCTCGTAAGGGGACATTTACTTTTTCCAGCACCATCATTTGACGAGGCTGTCTATTTCCATAACATACATTTTTGGCATTGCGATGAAAGTCAGCGGCGTGGCCTAGTTCTAGATCTGCTTCTCTGACTGCTTTGCGTGTCTTCTCTTCGGGTCACTTGCCGCTGCTCGTGTTCCTGTGGTGCTGCAGTGTCATCTGAAATCACAGCAGCTCTGCTGCTCTGTGTGCCTGGGGTTGCTCTGAAATCTCAGAGTCTTTGCGCTTCCGTGGAGATTTGCAGTTTCTCTTTGTGACATCAATCACGGGGACGTTTGGACTCTCTGATGGCAGCACAGCGTTCGGTTCGTAGTATGAGAAACTGCTATGCAGACGGGGCGGAGGGCGTAGTTATCAATGGCCGTACCCAGGTTTGGATCCTGTGTGCTATAAACCCAGTCTGCCAGGCAAGACTGGGATTGAGTTAATCTTACAAATCATTTAACTCTGATATTTTTACAATATGTCCTATTCCGTGTACATGCAAGGTTTTCCCATCTTCCTCTGTCATTCTCGATTCCTTTTGGCACATTCATGTTTTCATTTTAGAAGTCTCTTCTGCGTGGTTAGTTTTTTCCCTCTGTTTTCTTTCATTAGAAAAGCAAAAACAAAAGCAAAGCAAAACAAAACAAAAAAACTGTTGCGGGCCGGGGAGATGACTCAGCAGTTAAGAGCACTGGCTGCTTTTCCAGAGGACCCAGGTTCAATTCCCAGCACCCACAGGGTGGCTCACAACTGTCTGTAATTTAATTCCAGGGTACCTGATACCCTCTTCTGGCCTCCCTGGACACCAGGCACATAGTGCACAGATGCTCATACAGGCAAAATACATACATACATATATATAGCATATATATATGTATTTATGTATATATATTAAAGTAATAAAATTAATTAAAAAACTGTTTAATTTCATTAAATAAATAGAAGCAATGACAGGTAATATAAAGCTTTTGTAATTGGTTGGTTATATAGGTGATAAAAAAGTTCTGCCTCCAAATAGGTACTGATATCCCCTCTTAAATTCTCTTGGTTTATATTTAAATTTTATAATTAGTGGATATTGATATTTAACCATTGCGTAGGTTTAATTACTCACCACGACCCCCCTCATTACTCTCTCTGCTATCCCTGGCTAGACATGTTTTCTTCATGTGTGATTTTGGCAGGTTTGGGCCAAGTAGCCAGACTATCATGTGTTCATAATTCCCACTGCCATGCTACATGGCAAGAGAGATTTTATACATCCACTCCCCATCCTCCAGTTCTTTTTTTTTTTTTTTTTGGTTTTTCAAGACAGGGTTTCCCTGTGGCTTTGGAGGCTGTCCTGGAACTCGCTCGGTAGACCAGGCTGGTCTCGAACTCACAGAGATCCGCCTGCCTCTGCCTCCTGAGTGCTGGGATTAAAGGCGTGCGCCACCAACGCCCGGCCCATCCTCCAGTTCTTACCACCTTTGACTTTCTCTTCTGTGATGTTCCCTGCAATTGAGATGTGGGAGTATGGAATTCCCATCAGTCTGTGCTCTAAGCAGCCAGTTGTTTTCAGTATTTGATGAGTTAGGAGTCTCTGAGGTAACTGTTGTCCATGTAAACCAA